GGAATGAAATGCACTTTAGCTCACTCATCTCCAGAATAGATTGTCAGTGTTTTGAACAGGACTCATACGGGGCTTGAGGTACTCTCCAGTAATCATTTCAAACGCCAACATCCCTTTGAAAGCAAAGCTTACACATACCCACTGAAGCCTTCCCCCGCTGAACAGCTCTCCCCACACCGTCGGCAAAGACCCAGTAAATTCGAAATAATAAGGAGCACAAAGGGCAGCGGGGACTCTGCTTTGAAACTCAGGGCTGTTTCTGAGGAAAACTGAGCGGCTGAAACAATACCTATCCTGGTCTGTTTTCCCCTTCCCAGAGGTACGGTAAGAAGCAATTTTAAGTGAACTGTGGAAGAATGGGTGTGTTTAAGCTTCCGGCGTGAGATAGGAAATCCTTTCAAAAGGAAAATAAGCTTCAACACTACTTTTACCTTTCTAAACAGACCAGTGTAAGACCTGAACAAACAAACAAAAAAAAAAATGTTGAAATGGTCCCTGACAGGCTCAAACAATTCTGCCTCCTTTTTCAGATGCTGCTGTTTTCTGAGATGTGCTATTTCGCAGCAGCTCAAGCAGCCACCGTATAGTTAAACTCTCCTCTGACTTGCACTGAAGGAATGTCTCTAGGAGGAGATTTGAATCATTTCAGAGCTTGGCAATGAAGAGGCAAATCTGGGTCTCTGACTACATGTCCTCCTAAGAGATAAACTGCAGCTCAAGCCATAATTACAGGCTTGATGCAGAGATTATTCGAGGCAGACGTCTGGCTTGTGTTCAGCGGGACTTGAGGCTACAGGATGATAATAGTCCCCTTTGGCCTACAAAACCTGTGAAGCTGTGAATTTTCAATGTATCCTTGAAAAGATAAATTTGGATGCAATGCTAGGCATTCCTAATATCATCTTATCCCCAAACAGTTGTCTGCGCCCTGGCTCCTGTGCACTGTAGGAGATGCTGGTGCTCACCGGATTTGGGGTTGCAGAGCACGGGGGGACTGCTGCTGAGCGTTGGGCTGCTGCTGAAGTACCCACTGCTGCCACAGCTACTCATGCTGCTCCTCCGGACTGCCGACACGATCTTTATCTCCTTGGTGGGACTCACTACAGAGAGAAAATACAGGGAAAGGGAACCGGGATCAGTTATTAAACCCATTTCCCTACTTTCTTTCAAATACTTCACTGACAACACTGGCAAGGGGCGAGTGCGTTTTACATAGTTAGAAGAGTCACTGCATGAGTATGATACACTCATGTATACTGTAGCCAGCACGATGGCTGAACTGCTCCTATTGCGGTGTCTCCTAGGAGGCATTTCAATATAGGGAAACAATTTTTTTCCATTTTTCCTTCTACTTCCCATTTTTTCTTTCCGTTCTTGCTAGATATTGCTGTACAGCAAATACTGCAGGACCCCTTCCCCTCACTTTTACTCTTCTCAGAACCCCCACATGGAATACATAGCTAATTACTTTGGGCTTGAAAGGATTTTAACCAGTTCTGTTTGTTCATGGAGACTGATTTTTGACCAGCATATGAAATGCTACTGATACAGATGCAAAACCATTCCAGGGAGCTAAAGATTTGGTAAGTCAAGCGAATGGATGTCGCCCCACAGACAGCAGCACAGTTGATGAGTCACCTGAGAGAAAACTGGTGTGTTTTCTGTTGTCATGGTTCTGCTTGCGCAAGCAAAATGGACTGTCGTGGCTTTCTGGCATCAAGCGGGATTTCTCAGTGAGGAGCTCCATTAATCGCCGCCGCCGGCGGAAGTTCATTCTGCACTGGTAGAGCAAGTTGCTATCCATAAAATGGTGTTTGTTGGACACTGGAAAAAGAAATGGATAGAAAGTCTATGGCGGTAAGACTGAAATCAGAGCATACCCTTCTGCAATGTGTGCACTGCACACCTTGGAATAAGGAAATAACACCCAGAGCGCTCCCCTCTGAAGACTTGGAAAAAGGAGGAAGGTGGTCAGCTTCAACATACACACTTTTAGAGTGTCAGTAACAAATTAGGAACTTTAGTAGTCATCACTGAAAGGAGCCTTTTACAGGACTTAATGACAAGCATTTCCTTTTGTCAAGTGGAAATGCAAGAACTTTATCTTTCCGTGGCAGGGAGCATAATGGTCCATCTCCACACATGCTCCCCCTGTATGCCGTTTGGTGCTGCTGCTCACTACAGACCAGACTTAGCTCCTTCCATCGAATTCATCAGCCTAGGGCATGCCTCGAGCTCTGACTGACTACCTCGTTCAGAGCTCCAGGGCAGCAAAGAACCAAGACCTATGTATTTCCTCTGTCTTGTTCACCACAGACACCGTGTCCCAGACACTTCCTGCAGGCCACTTCCTCCCCTTCGCACGGATATGCGCCGTTTGGGAACAGGCACCCAGCCAAAAATCGTTTCTTACATAATGAGCAGAAGTCTTAATTACAACCTGTTTTGACACAGAGCAAATCCCAGGTTGGTGGTGTCAAAGCAGGAGCACCGAGCCTCCCCACAGACTGCAGCATCGCCGTAACCTCCGCGTGTTCCCTGGCACTGATGCTGCACCTCAGTAGTGATGAAAAATGCAGCAGTTGGACGGAGCTCTGTGCCAGGTCCTGAAAGCGCTCTGACTCCTTCAGGGCTTGATCACAGGAAGGCCTGCTGGAGTACTCTCTGCATTACTACTGCAGCATCACAAATAGCCGCAGTAGACATTTTGGCTGCATTTTCTCCATCTTCACCTAGCTCCCGTGATCACGTTCCACAGAAATGGTTTCGCACAGCTGACGTTTTCCACAAATGATCTAGATTCTGGATTTACTTAGTTTACAAATTGCATTTCTTCCAATACTGAATCATAAGAACTGGTGGGTTGTATGTATTTATATGCAAAGTGTAAACAACAACATAGATACACACTAGGGCATCAGCCAAATCTTTGAGTACATGAGTCAGTCATTTGGCCTCAGCCTCCTACCGCAGACACCAAACTTTTGCCTCGGTCTCAGCTCTGCCCAGCGCGTGGGGTCCAAAAGCAGCACAGCCCAAGGTGCTACACCAGATCCAGAGTCTGGAGCCCTGCTGACCCACTTTCCCTTTGTCCTCATCCCCAACACACTCTTCCTTGCTTTCATCACTTCTTAACACCTCCATGTGTCCCAGATTGCTCACCATGAGCCCCACGGAAGTAGACCACATAGAGGGGAGCCTTGCAAAAAGGGCTGTATTTAGACATAAACTTCCAGTGTGTCATTTGATGCATGTGGACTGAAGGAATAGCCTCAAAGAGGAAAAAGCCCAGCCACCTTCTGAGGCAGCTGGTGGTCCCAGAGAGAATATTCATGACAGGGTTGTCAAGTAAATTATCATCATCCAGGCAATAGAGGCTGGTCTGAGCTGTGATATTCAGGGCACAGCCCTCCATACACATACAGAAACTGCCATATGGGGTCAGACCATAAGTCCATCTTGCAAAAAAGCATGTCTCTTGCCTGCCTGGTCTACTGTCAGAGTGGGGACGCTGTTCAAATAGACCTCTTGCCTTTGGGACGCAAGGAATAATCAGGACACAGAAGCTTTTTGAACTGCACGTGCCTGTGCCCGAGCTGCCACACAGACTGCCCCGGAGTCCTGCAGCGTGGAGTAGCTGAAGGGCATTTCTCAGAGTTTGGAAATAGGAAGAGTTTGAAACTCTGCTTTCTGTGATAAAAAAAGGAGAAAGGTGATGCCAGCCAGCCAAACTGCGAGGTTTCAGGTACCATCTACAGAAAAGACCCCTGTTACCTAGATTGCCTGGTTCTGTTGAAGAGCTTAAGAGCCAGTGCTGCTTGGTTTTACTCTTCTTCATTTTGGTGCTGAACCTGTTGTTTCCTCAAATCAGGCGTATGTCTGCTCCGTGAGCAAAACGGCTTTGCTAAGTTGACTTTAGCATCGCAAGCAATTTGTTACTGTGTTCTGACAATATTGTAGGCACACGCTGCTGCTGTGCTCATCATTTTGGACACATACAGTACGCAATGATATTAAACAACACTTACTAACGATCACTATTTTTGAAGAATGGAAATAGAGGAGGAGAGATTTGGAGACTTGCCTACATGCACAGAAGGATTTGCTATCAGAGGCAGAGTTAATACGTAGGTGTTCGCAGCTACCAGTCTCATTTTCAGACCACTGGCACAATAAGTAAAAGTAGCAGTATCTAGCAATATCCTACCACATTATTAGAATAACCTGATGCAAATACAAAAAACTTCCTTTTTTGTTGATGACATCTTAAATAGTTCCCTGAAACTTAAAAAGACAAGCTTTACTTATTCTGCACACTATTGGGATTCATGTCGTGACATGAAAGAGGGCCCCACAAATACTCACTTGGACATAGAATTACTGTTGCCAACCACTTGCAGTATAAGAAATATCATTATGGTTTCTGATTCAAGTTAAATATTATGGCACTACAGTTTTTAATTAAAACTGTTCTGTTTGTGTCATTAACTGAAGTGTTCTGACAGTCTTCAGAAATCATAATAATCAGTGATCAACACACACTCGTGTTGGAGACATCATAAAGCACTCTGAAATTCTAGAATATTGTTGGCATGCCCCATGAGCATGTCAATCATCTGACACGTTCATGATTCAGAATGAAATGTCCATGCTGTGGTTTTGCCTAAAGACGAGTGTATCTGTCTGGAATGGTGTGGAAAAAGGGATTTCCAGATCACGGATCAGAAGGAAGAGGTTGAGGAGGAGGAAGCACACACCGGTGCAGGCTGTCTCTGAGGCATTCCTCAGGTGCAGTGGCTGACTTTCAGCATTAACCAGAAGGAGCTACTCGTGCCCTTGTCTTTGATAAATCACAAGTAAGTGAATGTCAGACACAGAGCTCACACAGAAGGTTGGTTTGGTTGTGCCTGGTACGTGCCCAGTGAGAGGTACCGGTGAAGGCATGGGTGCTCAGCTCAGCTGCCTTAACAGTCCGCATTGTTCTGCAATCAGCAAAGAAATGTGGGAGTGATAAGCTTTGCCAAGCTGACTGCAGCATGCTGAGAGGACTGCACAGACGTGCTCAGGAAGGATTTCTTTAAAGGTAGTTTAGAGGTTGTTACCTCGAGCTAACGTGGAGTGTTGAATCAGAGGCAGCAGCAGATAAACTCGTGGTGCCCAACAAGGCTCCTGCTCCAGGTATCTGTCTCTCTTGTGGAAGTTGCCATCTCCGGATAGGGATTCACTTAACTCCTGAATTAGTTCACTCCCCTTTATAATGCAGCATAGAAAAGCAAGCTGGCACCCATTTCTGTTTGTCTTAAATTGTCAGGCTGTGGCTGACGAGGATTAGGACCCGTACTTGTACACGATGAGGGTGATGTAAACAGCAAGGTGGAGTGACTTTGTGGGTTTTTTGTTCCAATTTAATTCACCGGTGCTCATGTGGCAACATGTTCATGTTACAGTGTGCACCTTACGAAACAGAAAGAAATGTACCAAAGGGAACAAAGCAAAAATATGGTGACTGACAACCTCCAAAATCATAAAAGTGCACAAGAGCATTTATGGTCCTGGAGGGACAGGCACCAACATTAATTCACAGTCCCCGATGTCAAACTTCGGAGGTATGGTCACAACCCACCAGTCTAATCTCCCACACACAGGGGCCACAAAATTTCTTGCAGAAACAGAATTTAAAAACTGTCTTTAAAAAATATAGTTTACTCATACATTAAAGCATCCTGTAATGACCGCTCCCCTTACGAACTGTTCAAGCCTTCCGTTACTTTCCCTGCCAGGTAATAAAGATTGAACTCAAGGCTAAATTTATTTAACTTTAGCTGCTAATCCCTGGACTTTGACACACCTGCATCAGAAAGTTACAGAAGATCTGGTCAGAAATATTTGTAAAAGAAGTCTGTAAAGTGATGAAGCCAACTCTCAAACATATCTTTGATCCACTGAATAAATAACACCCATAAATTCTGAGGTTTTTTAGACTTCCTTGAGTCCTCTTAAGAATTTCTTTATCCTTCCTAAAATCCAGCTATCAGAACTGCATGCTCACAGTCACAACTTCACTTTTTTTCTCTTATTTGCTGTCGTCATTTTTGTACATCTCAGACTCACAGTAACAGCTACTACAGCTGTACCGCACAAAAAGCATAAGCTGTGAGTTATTTGTGCCCTGTACATCCTCCTTTCCCAGCACAGCGCTGCTTCACACCAACAAGCAGAGCCTGTATTCTCATTTCCTGGATGTATTGCCCTCTAGTTATACCATCAGTTATACGAAAACACACCACTTCTTAGGTAATGACCATTTAATTAATAGAGCTCAATTATTTGTTCACTGTCTCATCTACCCATCGTTGGCAAACTTCATCGGCAAGCATTTTATCTGGCCATTCCCCACTTACATTAATGTTAATAGAGAAAAATCAGATTATTTATTTTGGCATTTCTCAGATTGGGAACACCTAAAGTTGCAGCTTTGGCGGTCCTTGTGTCTGGCTGCTTCACAGTTTCTGTCCAGACACATAAAATATAAATTGCAATGTCCATGCAAATCTTCTTTCAGCTTCTGATTCTGACATAAATCTGGGTTCTGCACAGGGCTCAAACACCATTTTCTTTTCTGCTTCTGCAAGGAGGCTGATGCACAGCGGAGATAGAAATGTAGCTTTACATTGATTTCGTTGAACTGAGGAGGCCTTAGAAAGTACAAAAGCCTATTTTAATAAATGGTGTGACTCATGCTTCAAAAATCAGGCCATTTTCATAACTGGCTTTTCCCCCAAATCCCTCCCACCACTTCAATTCCCCATGATTTTTAGCGCTGA